CATGAAATTTTTCATTTTATTGAACGACATATGCATATTTTTTATTTCTGTACTTCACGAAGGACACGTTGCTGTTTTATAACGACAATTGCTGTCCGTTTATAACATTGTGTCAGCTTGTAGGGAAGGGCTGTCATTCAGAGAGGCCAGATGGTTTTTGTAGAATCGTTATCTTTTGTGGAAAATTGACGCCGGAAACGATATTACGTAGACATTACTAGCTTATTATAATTGTAACGTGTAATCGATACCCGGGGCAGGAAGGTCTGACAATGGCGACGAGCGGACAATGCGAGAAAATACGAGGCCGTCCCGTAGGGAAGCCTCGGCGGATCGCACAAAACCCTGGTCACCCTCTCTTCTAGCATCGAATACCGGGCACGACGAATAAATGGCCTGATTAAGCACGCCATTTTGCCTGTAATGTAATCTTTAAGCGAGCGTCGACTTCTTTCCGTTGGCATTGTGCGCGAGGTACGCGATGTCTCGTCGATCATTTCCAAGGATTATGCCCGGCCCTTTTGTCCGGCCGATTATTCATGTTTCATAGGGCGCAGAATCGTAAAAGAACGCCTCGTTGATTCAACTTGTTGAGCTCCTCGCGAGGTCGTGCGACTTTTTTCAGGCACTTCTTCCATGCGATTTTATCCCTTTGTTCGACTTTCGGTCATCAGATGATTTCCCTTAACGCACACGTAATTCTTGTTAAACAGAGATTAGTAGCTGCTGATAATTTTGTAATTTTCTAGTTAAGTTCTATTCTCTGTAATTTCCGAAGGAAGCAATAACGACGCTTGATTATCGCGAAATTATTCATCAAACTCTCGGTAACCTTGTAGTAATATTAGATTTCCGCGATAACTACTACATATAGGAACATGTTTTATTTTTCTTCCTGTGTTTAGAATGTTAGTGGAATAGTTAATAAATGGAGACTTCATCACTTGCTATTTCTTCTAATTTCCTGAACTTGTAATCTGCTTCCTATTAACTGTTACTATGTATATCAGTAGGCTCTTTTACTTATTTCGTTGACCTACGTTGCAAGTGATAAGGATACTGGATTAACTTCCTCTTAGAATTTTATAGAAACTAGAAATACTTGTAATTTCCCACCCCTCTCTTTACTTTTTATTGTCAACTCTGAAAACTGTTCGGATTTCCTTCGACAAGAATAGTTCTGTTCACCAATTATGTTTGCCATTGTGTGACAGAGTCAATTAAAAATAATTTCTCAGCCCTTTCTTTATTTTTTATTATCCGTCAGCCTTGAAAGTTGCTTCTAGATTTCCTCTAACAAAAAGACCTATTCACCAATTACGTTTGCCATTGTGTCACAGAATCGGAATTCTTTACAATATTTTAGATCAAAGAAACGCTTGATAAAAAAAAAAGATATAGAAAAAGGTTGAATTGTATCGAAATCCAAGAAACTTAAAAAAAAAAAAACACGCGAGACCTTCGAGATGAAATCTAGGAGTTGCGGATAGAACTGCTGTGGCCGGTTTTTTTCGGTTAGATTCGCGCGAAAAGAGTGCGACGGAAAAGAGTTTGATTGTTGCGGAGGGTTTCAAACAATGCCGCGTTACAATAGCCGCTGAATCGGCGATATTGTACGAGCTCCGCGCCGCTATTTTTCTTCTTTCCATTATGCTCTCCTCCGACGGGGGACAATGCTTTCTAACGAATCGGCGCGCGTTTTAATATCCGAAATAACGGATTTTCGTACGCCAACCATATCGCGAGGACAATTTTTCACATTGCTCTTCGACCTCGTCACGTTGCACTTCCCTCACGTTCCGGTTTGAAAATTTCGGAAACTGTTCGCACGTTATACTCGTACACGGGCGAAGTCACCGATCTCTTTTCACGAGATCGTCGTTGACGTTCCACGCCGGTTTCTATATTTTTTCTCTCTTCTCCTCCCGTTCGTCTCTTCTGACCGACAAGTAACAGCCGTAAAAATCGTCTCCGCGGGCGTTCCCGGTTTCACGAGGCCTAAAAGGAATTTACAGGTGTGAGCCAACGGGGATAAAGACTCGCAGGCTTATTCGGTTTCCGCCACTTCAACCTCGTACAAAGTGCATGCAAATTTTCTAAAGGGAACGACGCGTCCGTTTTATTTCGACTCGTTTGTCAGCCTCAATTTTAGTCCCTCGCTTTTCTTTGCTGCGAACACGCGATACCGTATTCGAAACGTATTAACCTGCTCGATCAGTCAGTTTGGAATTTACTAGTCGATGTGGGATAAGAAACCTGACAGTGGAAAATGCATCTACAGAGGCTCACGAAAGTATTCGAACATCCTTTAAGACAGAATAATTCTTTTCATATTGAACTAAACAATTCTATCATTTTCTGTGGGTTCCTAAATGCTGTATTTTACTATGTAAAGTCTAAAAGAAATTAGTTCAAACTTTTTATTGATCGTGATAGTGAAGAAAAAAGTAAACATCACGTTTCGTAGATTTTTTATTAGGATTTCTAATGAAAATTTGAAACATCCTGTTTTTGAATTATTCTGGAGTTCAACAGGTCACAGCTTTAGGAGAATGAAGTAAAAATTAAAACGTTTGACATTTAAAATGATAGAAAAATAAGCCAGTAGAAATTGTGACATGAACAAAAATTGGGGCATTCACTATATTTGTCAGAAAATAGCGACGCGACTTGTTAATCATCTCAGATGCTTTTAAAAACTTCACGAGAGACTTGTACTAAAGAAATATCCCAAGTTACCTGCTAACGTAGCCACACCTTGGAAGAATAGACGAAACGTCACAAAGGGATGAAGTCATTGATCAAAGAACTTGGAAACAAAGTGGCTACTTAAAATTGAATGGACAATAGAAATCGACGGGTTTTGAGGATACCAAGTGGCTGTCCATCGGGACACTCGGCAAGTGGGGATACCATCTTTTGGCAACGGATGCGGGGGCAACTAAGGTGGTAGAAGAGACGCGAAGATGCGGCGGCGGCGGCGGCGGTGGTGCTGGCAAAATGCGGGCGGAAAGAGGAGAGGAAAGGAGAACCGTTGGAAACGAGGCGTGCTCGCTGCTCGCGCATTGGTGCACCGGTGTGTACGATGTGTGCACAGTCGCCATGTTGAATATCCCCACTTCCGTTCCACGTGTCGTACACCTACACACGTGTCGCGGACGCGATGTCGGTCGCGATATTACAGTAGGGGCGAGAAATCGGCCTTCGCCGTGGGGACTAGTCGCTTTACTAGGGGCGAGGCGTCGTCACTTTAAGGGTTGCATGAGATTCCAGTGTAATCTTTTCTTAAGATTGCCTGAGCCCGAGAAAGCATTGAAATTTTCACGGGTATTAGATAAATAAAACAATGTACAAACTCCTGGCTTGTAGTAATGTTTCAATGACTCAAAATTATAAACGAGTTATGACGATTAGAACTTTCCGACTTGTCCATTCGACACGTGTGACGATCAAGTTTGAAAATAGTTCACTATCTAAAAATTTAAACAATAAGCAATAATTACAATAATAATAAAAAGCAATTGCCTAAGCGTGGACTAAGATGATTTATAAGTTAAAGGATTTTGCTTCTCCATTTTTTCATGTGATCAATACCAAGAATTATCATTGATTGTTCTCACTGGACAATTATCACTGATTATTGTTAATATAATAATATTATAATAACACACAACATCAAAAGTATAATAGACTTCGAGTTTAAACAAACTGGGAATCATAAACCCGTCCGTAGAAATTACGACGTGAACAGAAATTTGGGCTTTTACTATTGTACAGTAATACTACAATACAGTAATTGGCTTACTTAAAATGATTTAGGGTACCCGAAGGATCTTGGTATTCTTTTCCATTCCTTTATTTAATCAATGTCAATAGTTGTTTGAACAAATATCATTGATTACAATACCTCACGTTAAAGTATAATAGACTTCGAGTATAAACAAAATGGGGATCATAAACCAGTCACTAGAAATTACGACGTCAACAAGAATTTGGATTTCTATTCTACAGAAATACTACAATACAGAAATTGACTTAGTTAAGATGATTTAGGGTACCCGATGGATCTTTGTATCCTTGCTTTTCCATTTCTTCGCGTGATCAATGTCAAGAATCGTTGAGGACAATTATCATTGATTATTGTTAAAACACGACACGTTCAAAGTGTAGTTGACTTGAAGTTTAAACGAGAAGGGAAAGTAGGAATGAAATATGATTCTTGAAGGAAGTCGTACGCCTCTTATTAAGGCTGATACATTCGGATGTCTTAATCGAGGTGCAACAATGAAGTTCTCAACATTAATTGAAGAGAAGATCGGAAAGAACAGAACCAGGCAGTGAAAGTTCGCTCAATATATCTTCTTATCAACGATCAATACCTACCTCGGAACGTACGCTCCAACTGTTACATGCACAAAGAAAAGCGTATCGTTTTTTTTGGTCGAGGACAATTTTCCTTCGGCTCGCCGAGAGGAACGGAAGACAAACGAATTGATAGAAAAAAGCACGTTGGACGGAGCACAGTGTACAGGGAGAGAGAGAGAGAAGAGAGGGGGAGGAACGATGGGAGAGGAAGGGTGGTAAGAGGGGAATCCAGGGGTGGGAACGAGGGGACAGAGGGGTTACGGGGGCGCGGGATTCAGACGTATTAATTAAACGACTCATTTTCATCGCACGACAAAAACGTGAGTTTAACGCCCATCGGCGACTAATGCGTCGGCCCCACCGGTCCCACTGCAGGCCCGTGGAATCGGAGGAGCGATTCTGGTTCCGACCAGCAAGTTTCTACCACGGACGATCCTCCAATCGTGTCGAGGCTGGTGTACCGCCTAGCGTTGCCTCTCGCACGGTACAGTACCGCCCAGACACCGGTCGATTTTTCGTCCCCACCAGAAGCCGATCGGTTCACCGGTAGGGATGAAAAGCCGCTCCGAACAGCCCCACCACCGTTCACCAGCGCCCCGTTTAGCCTGTAATTTGCTCAAACACTAGCAAGCTCTCGTGCCAGAAACATCCGTCAGAGAGCTGCGGCTGGCTGGGCGTCGAGCTTTATACTGCGAGCTGTTGGGCCTGTTGGTATGCTCGTTTTTTCGTTGTTTTTTTTTTCCTCGGCAACCGTGAAACACGTTGTAACCGACTCGGACGGAGTAAATTTTGGTGCCGCGGGACTATACCTCCATGGAGAGTCCCGGTTGTTGGATATCGCAGTGTGTGTCGGCCGTGTGAGCTAAACGCTTCGTGGTTGCTTATCTCGAGGTTTACAGTGGTGACACCCTTTAAATACCAGGGATCATTGTGAACTGGGTGATTCCTACGGTGACATTGCGAGGATTCGTAAAATGAACGAGGGATAGTGGTGATCGTGACAACGAAAAGGTGTTGAGCGTTTCGAAGCCCGTCGACTGGAGTCTGTATCGAAAACGGTGAAACTATATGAACGAATGGACGATGTACCTGTCAACGTTCGGACGGTAGGGTGTCGATTAAGAAGAGTCGATATAATCGAGGAGTCGTGAGGTATCGCGGTGAATATTCTCGGACGATTTAAAGAAAATTGCGGTCAAAGTGTTTTCGAGGGGTAACCCGTGGGTGGACGTCTGTCGGACGAACGTTCTATCGAAGGATCTGGCGCCTAGACGGCTGCAGGCATGCGGCGTACCTGACTCCGCCGAGGTGTCTCGAGCCCGCGCGAGTTGCACAAGCGGCCAGTCCATCAGCCAGGCGTACGATAATCGTACGATGATGCCGCTCGCGCCGACGCCAATTGTACCGGTGCCATCGAAGCCGAAGATCGGCTTCAGCATCGACTCGATCGTCGGCGGCGGCGGACAGGGCCGCGAGGACCGTTTGGACAGGCTGGAACGAGTCGAGATCGAGCGGGATGGAAGTCCGATGGACGTGGTCGAGGGTTCCTCTTCCCCCCGGAGTCGACGAGTAACCGCGAGATCACCCGGGGCTCATTCCGAGGGCTCCGATCGACCCGTGTCACGAAGCTCCTCCGTGGAATCGTATCCGAACTCGCGGAGGCCGCCGTCGCATCCCGGCAGCCACCACCACCATCACCCGAACCATCACGGACATCATCATCATCATTTAACAGCGACGACCCATCTCGACTTCAGCAGGACGACCGTTCACAGTCACAGCGGAGGTTCCACGCCCAACAATAGTCCCAGTCCTCCTCACAGGATATCGCACGGCGATTCTCCCGTTGGGGCGCATCCCCAACCGCCGCCAGGAGTCGTCAGACCGAGTCCGAATTATCTCGCGCCGCCTGGCGCGGCGACTGCAGCCGCGGTTGCGGCCGAGCAATTGAAATCTCTTTACGGGCTGCCTGGGCACGGGCCTGCCGGACCTCAGACCGGCCAGAACGAGTATCACACGCAGCAGCTAGCTCTGGCAGCGAATTTGGCTGCGGCGCAACATTTCCAAGCGGCGAATCTCGCAGCCGTGGCCCTCCAGGCGCACCATGGTGCGTCGCCTCATGGACCGCCGCATGGGCCTTATCCTCATGGAGGCGCCCCGGCCGGACCTCATCCTCCGCCGCATCCTCATCAACCGCCCAGGGACAGCTATCCGCTTTATCCTTGGCTGCTGTCCAGGCACGCAGGAAGGATCTTCCCTCATAGATTCCCTGGAGGTACGGGATCTTCTTTTTACTCTTGCTCGAACTTCGGATTTGCTTGATTAGAAATATTCATTGTAGTTAGTGATTGACGATTATACAGTCGATCAAAAAGAAACTTATCGTTCTTGGCATGATAAACTCTATAAAAATCACGTATAGTCGATATTGTAAAGAAACTTTCTGTCGTGTTATTAAATGTTGAATCAATCGTGAGAGTAAAATCCTGTCGAATGAAATACAATCTAAGTAAAAGAAAATTAGTAACTGTTATCAATAGTTTGTTTAAGATTAGGATAATTTTACCTGAAACACTCATTAATTGTTTCATTGTAATCGCAAGTGATTCATCGTCGGAACATTTTACTCTATGGTATATCAATGTACAATTTACTACGAGCGTACGATATCCGTGAGTGTTTCATTTATATCTCGCTACTCGTAAAAAAAAGTTATCAGAGATTTAAAAGCAATTTATCGCTGAAACGTTTCTACTTGCTTATTCCATAGTTCATCAATTTGCAATTACTCATGGTACTAGTGTACATTATTTATGATATCACGTTTCTCATAAAAAAATTATCGATTCATCGAGTGACAGTAACGCTGCTCGTTGTTATTCAGCGCTCGCTAATCGCCCGGTGGGAAGGAGCTCGCTCATCGGCTCTGCTCGCCGCGGATGCCGAACGATTTCTAAATCACGCTCGTGTGTAAATGAGACACAGAATCAGTTTTTTCGCCTGTAAATGTGTAGAGAAAAAAACCGGAATTCATTTGCATGGCTCAGACGGTTGTCAGTCTGCCGGCTGTCTATATTTGCGCCGAGAGGAGTGCACGCGATCTCAGCTACGAAAATTCTCACGATTCGCAGGCTCTGACAACGGTTCAATCCCGCTTTCTCCGATTTCGCGATTTTCTGCGGTTTTCTCTATTCGAATTCCACGAAGGTTACGCATTATAAGCCGTATCGGTTCACGATTATTCCAATCCGACGTAAATTTTATTATACCAACGTAATTACAGATGTTTTCACTTTAATACGACGACGTATTCGTTGTAACATCTTTTAACTGTGTGCTAATACGAAGTGTCGGCAAGGTTTCTACTAGAATCGATATTCCCCATAATTATTGCGTTTCATAAATGCGAAAAGTTGATGAACCTTATGTATCTTTTTAATAGTATTTTCTATTTCGAGACAATAACGTTATTACTCGTTACGTGATTCTATGTACCAAGGGTGTTACCATCGTTACAAACGTTTTTCATCTTTTGCAATCATTACGTGATTCTTATACACAGAGTTTCTCATACCAAAAATGAATGCTGTGTCACGTACCATTTGAGAAAGATATCGGTTTTTATAAAAATGCATGCATTTCGGGAAAAATAATAAAAATATTACACCTGTGCATAATTTCTTCATCAGAAATGTAGAATCCAATAGTGTGTAGTCTGGATAATGGGAACTTCATATAAATACAAAAATACGTATAAAATACTCACGTGAACTCTTCTTCAAATTTTATTTACAACTATTAAAAAATAAAGAAACAAAAAGAGGATATATTGTGAAAAGTTTCTCCTATCTGTTGATTCAAAATAAAATTTTTCGCTGTGTCAATTTTTATCTAATCACTTTTCCGAAAATCATGTATTTTGACAAAAATCGCTATTTTTCGGAAACAATACATTACAGAGAATTTCTGTTTCTGGATTCGTTTTTGGTATGAGAAACTCAGCAAGAATCGCATAGAGGATGTTGCTAAAAAAATTTTAATCATAATCGAGTTATCTCTTTCTGCACGAAGTTAATAAATCCGATGCCGTGATATCCTCGATTTTTTTCGGTTGTCGACCGGTTCGATTATCGATCTAAACAGGCCGCGGTTTGCATCGGGTCCGACCGAGGGGGCAGACGAGGTTACGAGTTTACGAGAGAGAATTGGTAAATTACGCGTTTAACTCATCGCCCCTCCCCCTGTGACGAAGGGGTTGCGCAAAGATTTCGTAACGAAGATTTTGTAACGTTGTTGTGTCCACCAGCCGCGAACCGCCGTTATCGCTGTTACGAGCGAGGAGGCAAAACAAGCGGCTTCGCGTAATTGATTCACTCCCGATAACGATAAACCGGGCCAATTATGAATTATTCCACGATAATGCTAGCCGCGTATCGTAACACCGAGATAGGGTCACGTACGCTGCGAGTCATCGTTTACGCTCGCACCGTACAATGATGGATTTTAGTCATTGAACCCTTAGCTGCTCGCGTGATTCCGCTTAGAGTCATTAACTTATATACCGTTTGTTATGCACTGTCACCTCGAGGATTTCATGCGATATCGTATTCGACTATGAATAATAACTGTGTGGAAGAGAACGCTTTCTCCATTTGCGAGGAAGCCTTAGGGCAGGAAGGGTTTGTGGGACTTGGGGTTAGAACTAATTCGGTCGAGTAATAACTTAATTATTTCATACCTTTAACTCAAATTACCTATAATGTGACATTCATTAAAGTATAATAATTAGACATTGTTATGTATTTATAAAAACCAGTGCACTGAATTTCGATCAGAAGAGCGCATGAAATATTGGAAGCAAAGTGAATCCTGTGATATTTAATTCATAAGTGAAAAGCATGCCAAAGTGTAATTCCGAATATTTTATTTCGCATATAAATCTAATAATAAGATTCAAGGGACGAGCTTTTTAATACTTAGGCGTTCCAACAAAATTGATGATTCTCGCGGTTGTTTTATTGCGCGCACAACTTCATTACACAAGCTTTACACGACAGTCCGATCATTTATCTCCTATCGATTAACAACAGTGTGTAAGTCGAATCTAATTAGCGAGCGTACGGACACAGGTAGCCGTAACAGCTACGCCAGGATTGTTCGTGAGTCGCGAAGCGAGAAACAGAGTCATCGGGATCTCGAGTGCGAGAATTTTATGGTTTGCCACTTTTCTCGCCTCGTTGCCGCCGTTTAACATTATCCGCAATCGCGAGTCAATCGTAAATCATGTATCGCCTGCGAGTATGTTTAGAAGTGGGAATTCTTACGCGAACGTCTGTTCGTTGTCGATTAAATAACCGAGCGGATACATACGTTTGTACATACGTGAGGATGAGACAGGAACGAGTGGTAATAATTTAGTTATTATAGCGTGGGTCCATTTGGATGACTTTCGATCAGAGCCCGAGGGATGATCGCTTGGAAACGAAACGCGTCAAGCAGAAAACCGCATTCGACGTTTTATGGACACGCGTCGACGTTTATATGCGAAACGATTTACAAGATACGAAACGTGTTCGCGTAATATCAGTCCGGATATTATAGACTTCGTTAAGAGTGATGAATACAGGAATACACAGTGTTTTTTTGTTACTCCATTGCTCTCAGTAAAAAGTGGAATCACGTTAATGTATATTTAATTCGAAGTTTATTACACGATTTTACCTCGTTCTTACTCAACTTCAAATAACTGTATCAAAATCGTGTTCGAGTGAGAACAAAATAATTAAATCCATGAAAAAGCTGGTTAATTAAGCAGGGCCAGTGCCTTCGTACTTCTCTGTAGAAATCTCAAGCGTCTTCCATCAAGTAGCAATTACGCATTCACTAATGAACATGCAAACCTCGCGCGAGAAGACCGCCACGATAACCACTTCAGTTCCTCCAAAACGTTCTTCATTCTGTTCCTCCTGACGTCGTCTGCAATCAGTAACTTCTTTTTATTATAAAAACCAATATAATTTGAGATCTCAAATCTCAGTTGGGTTATTATTTGAAAAGTTCTCTTCTCTTTCTCGCCTTATTATCGATGGTGTCATCTAATTATGCGAACAAGCATTATTTCTTTCATCATATCTGAGTGGTTTTTAAGTTTACTGTTTTTGGATTATTTTCTATTATTTGGATTATGGAAAATTCATCTCTTGTTCGATATCTCCTGCCCTTTCTGTTTTATTTTTATGGGGAAACGTAAGTTGGTTTCGCATAAACACAGATACTCCTGGCAATTAAACATCTTGTTAGATTATGAGATCATGTACTGAGCTAAAAAATTGTTCTGATCTTGCGAGGTAAATATAAAAGAAAAAAGAGAATCGGAGTACCTTCCTCCCGACATCCGTACTATGCATAATGCAAACGAAGCTTAGTCGGATCAGCAATTTGAAAAGGTGGCCTCCCCGAGTAAAACGATCAGGATTCAGACACTTATTGAGAACGCGGGCCGCCCTGGGCGACGTCTCAGTCAATGATACGATGATGAAGTGGCTTCGATGCCGTGCGTTAGGGCTGCCCGCTCGCTTTTTGGTCAATTTTGTCTCATCAGCGCGCATTACTCCGGGCGGTGTACCTCGGGACGGGACGAGTACTCGCGTTACCATTCGATTACTGTTATTTCTCAAGGTACTTGAGCCAGCCGGGTAGGCTACCATTTCCACCGTGACTCTAGAGTCAAACGAGAGATCCGAACCACTTATCTAATAGCTCGCCACAAACACCGAGCATTATACACAAAGTTGCACACGATTTCTCAGAATTCGTTCTTCTCCTTCTTTTTCCTCGAGATTCACTTCACTTTCGGTGCGATCGTAAATTCGTAAATGGTAAACCGTATCATTTGGTAGATAATTGAGGATGTGGTCACCGTGAAAATCATCCGGAACAAATGTCTCTAGCAGTTTGATTAGTCGTCGGCTCTCGAGTAGTATCGTTTATCTAGCAATTAGCTGGTATCGGTAATTACCGCGGTGAATCCTTCACCCTGGCATCCGGTCTTCCGCGCGCGCGCGCGTGTGTCGTAAAATACAGATGGGGAGACCGAGAGGAAGAGAAAGAGGAGGGAGGAGAAGGTCGTGAAACCGTTTCGATAAGGAATTCTCGAGTCGTTCTCTGTAATCTATTCCGGCGCGACCTCGCCACTCTTTGTGGCTCATAATAGTGCCAACAGAGAGAACTTCTTTTTGTTTTCCTCTCCCTGTAGTCTCTACATCTACACGCTCT